TTACTTTTACGTAGTTTCCTCTCTACACTGCTTATGAATCTGCTGTATTTTTTATTTTCCAAGATATGTTTTTTTGTGATTATACAAAGTTCCACATGGTTACACTGCTTCTCAATTTTTTTGGTGTATATTACTGCAGGCGTTTAATAATAACAATGCATACTTTTAAATATTTTATATGGAGTAAAAAGGCTGAACAATTTCGGGTGCAAAAATATTTTTCAATTAGGCGGGAAATAAAAAACAAAAAATCATTTGCATACATTTTATTTTACATGTTTATTAAAAAATATTTACATACATTAATAAATCAATACTTTATTTTCTTAAATCCAAATGGTACAGAGGTATGATCTTCATAGAATTTCCTTTTCATTGAAGTTATCTTGTATACCTTAGGAAACTCGACTGTTACTACTGCATGCTCTCTTGTACGTCGTAGCTGTCGAGAAAGTACAGAAACAGGATCAGATTTCTTCAGCACCATGTCTTTTATTTTCTCAAAATTGACTACTTGGGATGCCTTGTAGTTGAGTGATATGCCTTTTACTTTACATACGATCTGTTCCTCTCCAGACAAAGTAGTATATTTGTAGGCGTAGTTCTTAGGTCCTCCAGAAACAAACTCTGATATGAAACCCCCATTGAGCTCATCGGTCATATCACCTATGAAGTCGCCTGTAGATATGTCGTCTAATCCCTTACGAGAGATATAAATACATGAATCTGTATCTACGTAAACTGCCCTTTCTTCCACTTTCTCCAAGAATGAATATAATTTTAGTCTAGCTAGGGCCGTGACATATGAAGCCAATACAACGTTAACCGTTGAAGAAACGTCATAGGCCTCTTCTCTAAATTCCCAAGTTATGAGAAGGGTTTCTTCGTTTACCGGGAGAACTGTATTTACATGAATAGAAGGATTAGTCAGCATATCAAAGAATTCACCACAGTCTCTGACTATTGAGGTTTTGTTTTGGTTTTCTTTTTGAGCAAATTTACCCCAAAAGGAATTCAGCATAAGTTTAGCTAACGATCTCAAACAGGGGTTCTCTATAATTTTTGAAAATTCCAGCTTTATGTCTTCTCTATCCAAAAATGCATCAATATAACGGTTTTTTTCTTCATCCGTTAAGCAATGTTTGGGCCATCCTGAAGCTTGTTGTTTTATTTGTAGAAACTTGTTCATCATTCCGCTAAATAACCCCTCTTGGTCTTTACTGAGCTGAATTGTATCGTATTCCCATATTTCGTAAGTCTCTATAATCTGGTAACCTTTTTCAATAGCTTTGAGCACCTCTTCTATCACCCAAGTTCCTTTTAGGCTTCTTTCTTGAATAGAATGCTGACACTCTTCTCGAACGAAATCTTCACCACATTTTTGACAGTTAACAAACATCAATTTGTTGTTCATTTTTGACGGTAAAACGGGGTGATATAAGTTCTGGTTCGGTAGAATCTGGCATTTAATAAGTCCTGACATCTGCGACAGAGAGGCTGTAACACATTCTTCACCTACGTAAATTTTTTTTGGATGACCCACCGGAAATTTTCCATATTTACAGATGAAGGGGTACAGGGAACATATATCGACATATTTTATGCATTCATTTGTTTTGATCTTGTAGTATTCAACGATATTTTCTGTACGTCCCCCGTAGAGAGCGTCTCTGGGGTTAATCGGTAAATTGATTATCAATGGATGTGCTTCTGTGAAGGCTCTAATTTCTTCGTTTAGCATTCCTCGAAATTGACATTCCCATATCTCAATTACTTCTAGTCCAAGGCTTCGGAGTCTCTCTACTTTGCTAACTGATTGTTCGTATCGACTTTCCAATGTATTCAACGGATCATTATGCAGAGGATTGCTTCTTTTGTATTTGAAACATCGAGGGCAACCGTGAAAATAGCATCCTTGGAATTCAAACACTTGATTTGTGTCGCTACAAAAACCGTCTACTTTATGTCCCTTAACAATGGTTTCTATACCCTTAGCGGCGTGTTGAATTTTGATTCCTCTTTGATGTTCCTCCCACAACAGCCATTGGATGGCAATTTTTGACTGATTTTCACGCCATCTATAGCCCCCTTTTGGAATTACCCCGATCGTCTCAGGTTTTAAAAAATTGCGTCTAAAGACTTTGTTACAGCATGATGCAATAGTGGTGCTTTCCTGGAAGGGATCGACTGTGGTTTCGGTTTTCATCAGGTCTCGAAATTTGAGACACGCCTGTGTCAATATTTCCACATCGGAGATACAGTATTCAACGATTTCTTTCTGAAAATCAAAAACGTATCCCTCCGCTTGTCTTTCGCCATGCCATTTTAATAATTTTTCCCGAGCGTCTTCCTTTAAATGGTCGGGATCGTAGAAGTCGAGCGCTGGAATTGGCCCTACATAATTCTGATGAGCCAAAGTGTTGAATAAATGTGGAAAGTATCCTTTCTTTAGCTCTTTCAAATCAAACGCCTTGGGTAGAGCAGTTAGAGGCATAGGAAAATAATTGAGAGAATCCAGAAATTTTACATTTCCTACCTCCATCAATATTAATTTTGTTCCTCTCATAATTACATTCGGGTACAGACTAGTCTTCTCTAAAATGTAACGAAGTAGAAACTGATGATCAAATCCTCCACCATTATGCGCCAGTACAATGACTTTCTTGAATTTTTTACGAAGTGTCAGAATATGATGCATAAATGGAGAAATGACGTCTTGACATCGAAGAATCTGTATTCGAAGGCCACATTTCTTGCATATAGGATTATCGGTACATGATTCACAACATTGTTTGAATACACATAGATTTGGCTCATGCAGTAAAGATCCATTGGGTAATTCCTTCTCCTGACGGGTTTCCAAATCGTAAAATATTAATAAGACATCATTTGATTTAGGAATACTTCTGTCAGGCTGTATATAGCACATATGTTCAATTGGTTGATTTTTATAACATGTTTTACAAAGTATATATCCGCAGATGTGATCATTACCGTTGTGAACTTTAAAACAGTCTACACATCTTTTAATTTTAGAACAGACCGATGGTAAATGAGCGTTAAAACATTCTTGTCCATAAAAGCTTCTATTACATTCTTTGCATTTGATGTGCTTCGTTTTCAGGCAGGCCGGAGATCTTTTACAAGCATAACATTGTTCATCACATCTATGAATTTGTTTAGTATTATACGGAATGTGGCAGTTCTCACAAAAAAAGCTGCAGCAAAAGGCAGCAGTGAGGGATGTTATGACGCTGTAGTGCCCCTCGTGATATATTAGGTTAAGCGTCGGACCAGCGGACACGCCTTCAAAAATGACGTCACGACCTTTGCACCCAAACTTGTATACAACAATTTTGTAGTTTTGCAGATATCGTTGTAGCTTTTGAAGTTCAGGTATTCCACACCCCTCCTCAGGGATAACAATATCAGCCTTTTCCACAAGTTGTACAGCTCTTTGTCCTTGCATTTTTCCTCGATCACGGCGGATTCTGCTATAATCTTTGTCTTTGTTCAAATGGGCCATGGCGATGACAAGGGCTCGTGGAAGACACAAATTATCGGTGTTTTTAACGGTGATAATGCCTTTTCTTTTGGCGCATTCCTCATCAAAGGTATTGAAATTCTGAGCTCTACCACGACCAGCAGGCAACCTTACGGACGTAATACCCAAGCAAAAAGTCTCGGTATTCAACCCCACAGAATTTGACTGATAGATGGAAGATATCTTCTCCCATATGTCCTCAGTTGAAACGTCGGAAAACAATTTAAAAGCTATCCATCCTTGACCGCGGGTAAAGTCTTTGGAACAGAAAGTGAATCCAACTTGATCACTGGGCTGGAGATGTTCAGTTCCTTTGGCTACTATTTCCTCCAGAGCGTCTTTGATCCATCCCACAGGTTCGACGTCTTTAGGGATAGGTCGTATTTTAAATTCCACTTCTCGCCCATATAGATTAAATTTTTTAATCTTCTTAGTAGAATCCTTAACGATGAAGAATTTTTCCATTTTTTAAAAACTAAAACGTTAACTAGCGACTAAATCTGAACTGAGCACGTCTGTTCGCTGCAGATAACTGACAAGATAATTTACGGTGATTCATAGGTATTTATAATCTCGTTTTTACCCCCACCACTTTTTAACTGACCACAGTGTTTCAAGGTCACCGCTGTTATCGTTGGTCAGTATTAACTCGTTGACAGCCTGCGCTTCCTGCCCATTCACCCATGCTTAACAGCCCCGCCCGGTACTTCTTGCATATCACCGCTACGACAACACCTGCCCTGAACTTAACCTCATTTGCGACGTAGGTGATTGCCTTGTTGAATTTATTAGATACACAATATAGACTGTACTATGTTTTCAATATTGTATCAATGTTAAAAATTAACTAACATTAACTGTATGCACCACATATATGAGCAATTCCATTTTTATATGCACACTGAATATGACGTGTTGATTATTGAGATCATCCTATACGCATTGTTTCCCGCGAATTTTATACGTTTTTCCATTTAAACTGAATCAGCAGAATTGCATCTATAAATATCATTATTCATGGGCTTTTATCGATCTATATGCAAATATTTACCGCAAAACATGAAATGAGTCACATCGCTTACGCATAGACGTTATACTACACCTTACTATCGTCGGCTGTCTGAATCACTTCCGGTCGGGTGCGCTATCTAACGGGGCCCGCCAATCAACATATACCATCAACCCGTTCAAACTTCCCGCCGTCTGATCCACCAATCAGAGCACGCGGTGGATCTAGCGGTTCCCGCCAATCAACATATACCATCAACCCCGTTCAAATTTCCCGCCGTTTGATCCGCCAATCAGAGCACGCGGTGGATCTAGCGGTTCCCGCCAATCAACATATACCATCAACCCCGTTCAAATTTCCCGCCGTTTGATCCGCCAATCAGAGCACGCGGTGGATGTGGTGGGCGTGGCCAAAAAGTGGAAGTGGTGGGGGGCGCCCAGAGTGCACCAGTATCTACTACGTTCCACATCTAGCTGCAATTTTATAGCTGAATAACTTAAAAATTGAAGTAAAGTGAGTCAGTCAAAGAGGCAAGAAGCTGTAAGCTCTGACACTTGACTCGCTGGTGAAAAAGATTTCCTTACATTTAAACTAAGATTTGGTAAAATGAACATGCAATAAACTGAGTGAACGTATCTTAAAAAGTGACGCTATGTCGATTTTTTTGACACTATATTGGTTTTTGTGACTATGTCAGTTTTTCCACAAGATACTAGCTTAGCACTAGCTGACGGACACTTGTGAACTCGTTTTGTAGTTGTACGTGTTGCCTAAACATCATGATGCTTCAGTTATCAATGTTTGGCTCTGACGTGGTATTTGATATCTATCTAGATAATTACATGGTAAACATCAAGCAAAGACTTTTACAGCTTTGCATGCATTATGTCCAAAATTTCAACTTCGGGTATGATGCAGTATCAACATTCAATACAAAAAAACAGATGTCTAACAGATTTGGAATCTTTGGCAAGACTTCAAATTTGTGTATGAGGCCGAACGCCTTGCTGTATTATTGTTTCAAGCTTGAACTATGCTTCAATAATAAATAATCTGTTTTCGTGTTATTGAGTATTTTTTCAGTTTCTCAATATACATTCAGTCAATCTGGACAACTAATTCTTCCTCATTCGACGACATGATTATATCAACACCTCTAAGTCTTGACCGACAACTAACATTGTATACACCGTATCAAAAGGATAAAGACTTGTCGTGACTTGTCTTGCAAGCGCAACCGTTTACACAGATATCCAAGTAAATAACTATAATTATGATAAGGAATAAGTAAAGACTTGTAAAGAAATACTTGAATGTAGATTCTTCCAGTATTAGCTTTTAAGAATAAACTTATTTGTGTTAAAAAAAATGTGAGATGTACCTTGTGCTTATAAGTGGCGACTTATCTTCATAAGATTTTACTTCCAAAGCAATTTTTTTGTTTTATTCAATAGACCCATTATAATATTATGACAGTTTAAATTCTATAATATTCCGTTCAATTCCATGTTCTTTGTAATTTCCTAGAAAAATCAACAACATAGGTAACGGCGTACTAAAAAAATTACGCACAATGCTGTCGGTACAGGTCCAGTGACAAGTGTTGTCAACCGTTTTTTCACGGCAAACAAACGTTGCCAATCTTCATGTCTTGCATGTGTGCGCAATTAGATACGAATAGACAAATAAGGTGACAATACTAGCTGCAGCGCTGCATAGGAGCATACGTTGATAATTGCACAATGTACCATTTGCTACCTGAAAAACCTTTATAGATAGACTCAGATGCGGTAATTAAGCAATAAGCACGAATATAATTAATCGTTTGTCGGATGAGTCTCCCTAAGGGCAGATAACTGCATTATCCTTGAAATCTCAATCAACACAGATGGAAAACCGTATAGAGGGACAGGAAAAGAGTATTTTCAAATATTTCCTACACTACTCATTTGCCAAGTGGATGATATCATACGACACTATCTTTATTTTTATTGCTCAAGATTATAGGATCATAAAAACAGGGCGATCTCTATTTGAAAATATCGAATAATAATAGTTGAAACCTACACAGAAGAAAATCAGTTTTAATGCGAATGCTTATCTTTATTGCTCAAGATTATAAAAACAACGGATTTCTACTAGAAAATATTGACCTTAGGAATTTTTACAGCTGAATATGCATCCGATTTTATTGAAATGAAAATACCGAATGAAGTCTCCTAATTTACACCTCCTCCTATGGGGAAGCAGTCACATATCGTTTACCAAAGAAGAAAATATTCGAAAAACATACGCTTTTACGAAGCTGGATTTGCGTATTTTTACACAAAATTAGATGTTCCTCGAAAAAGGTTAGAGTTAAGTATGGGATGTTATATAAGAAACGTACGCAGATTGCGCAGATTTCAAAACATGAATTATATTCAGTTATACAGTATGATATTTTCGGCTCAACTGCCTGATTCAGAATTTGTAATAATAGGCGTACTGTATATACTTGTATACATAAGCGCAATATCGATTTCTATTTGCTTATGTAACTTAAATCCAGATAAAAGAACTCAATTTCCGGTATTTAGTACCAATCCAACAATTTATACGCCGCGTCGGCACTTATGCTGACCGATGTTTGTGTGAAATGAAATTCAATTCGCATAAAAGGCGAGGTGAAATTGAGGTTACGTTGATATGTACCGAAATACTCATACATCTCTCCACGCTGAGGGTAAACAAACAAATGCTACGCTTGCCTGTAAATGATGTTCACCTAAATGTTTGAATGGGTTGTGATGGTACAGGGTGAACCCGTATATTTTGATCATGTAGTATGCCGTACTTTGCTTTAAGGGATATTCTTTAATTTCAGATTATAAGGGACCGTTTCGTCAGTCGTTCCTACAACTGTAGGATACCTTTATGGATTTTATGATTTTCATAGCATTTTATCTCCTTCCGAAAGGCTGCAGTTTTTGTAGAGCTTACCTGTTTCGTGTCGTCGCTCTCTTATTGTGAGACTAAATTTTCTTAATGAATTGCAGGACATCGTAGTCTGATAAAACACGTGATATGAACCGAAGGCATGAACAACCTGATGCAAATAGATATTTGTAACATAACCTCAAAATAGAACGTTGACACGAAACATTAGAAAACTATGAAAATCAAGGAGGCCATAAAGGCTGACGATACGACCCTAAGAGTAGATTTCACAATTTAACAAACCTTTATTTTGCACAAATAGGGTACGAGTACCAAACAGTCCGTTAAATATACCAAATCAGCCTCAAGATCTCTCCGTCAAATTTTTGGCAGCAAATAGCATCAAAGAAACAAAAGAAACACAACACTGTAAAATATGAAGTAACGGGTTGCTCTTTATTAGGGGAATATGGCTTTTTAGTGACTGCATTCACATTTGGGCGAGGAAACCACCTAGATGCTAAGATTAATTGTATCAGTGGAAGAAAAATTAAGACGTTCCACAATTCTGGCTTCATTTGTACAATCAAAAATCGCCAGTGTGCCATAGTTATTAACCCAAAAAGAAGTAGCATTGGGGTAACGGTTTATACGAGGGTCATTTCAATAACCTAAAGCGCTCTAGTAGTTCGATATAAATGGTTTGAATGCAGCGAATCTAAAAAATCGCACTATTTCGATACAGTCATAGCAACAAGTTTACATAATGTGACTGGGCTATGAAGACCTGAACCCACCCAACCCCTTCCCGAGCCCCGCACGCAGGTAAATCCAGCGCGATGCAGCAGAGCGGTACTCGGGAACATGTTCTTCCGGAGAAAAGGATTGAGTTTTGTAGCACATTTTTTAAATAAGGAAGTAAAAAGTGAAAGTGAAATGAAATATGTATTTAGTTGAATGATCTTGAAGAGCGTGTTTCTGGAGGATAGCTGCTCGACGTAGCAAATTAGGTAAAAGTAACTTTACATCTTTGACATCGCTATCATCATATACATATGTATATTTTGGTTGATAGTATGAAAACTAATGTCTAGATAATTGATTACAATAGCAATCAACGTTACATGAACCACTTGATTCAGTGATCTCTCATATCATCCAGACTTGCTAGAGAAAATATTTCCACTTTGGAGACACTTGACACCCACGTCACAGCACTAAAGCACCACTGAGACACAATCGAGAGCCCCATAGTGAACATCACTACTAAAACAAATAGCTAAACGGAATAGAGCTCTGCACGGAGCTGTGAACGCGTAGACGTTCCGCTGCGCCGAAGGTAGTACAGCCACGCCCCTTTTGAGCTCCCACTCCGCGCGTCCACTCCCGTCAACGTAAACATCGAGTCACTTCGTGACACTGTCAGATAAGAACACGCGGAGTGGGAGCTGGAAAGGGGCGTGGCTGTACTACCCGGTCGTACTGTATCGCCGCAGCGAAGTACACGAATTCCATGTAATTATAAAAAACAAAAAATAACAAACACCAGTAAAATAAAAAGCAATTCTAAGTGATTATAAAAAACAAAAATTAAAAACTAGTAAAACAAAAAACAATTCCATATTGAATACAAAGCAATTCGAAGTGACAACACAAAACAAAAAGTAAGAACAGTAGTAAAACGAAGAACAATTTCATTCCATCCAAAATGCTCTTTATTTTACTGTTTGTTATTTTTTGTTTTTTATAATTACATGGAATTAGTTTTTGTTTTACTACTGTTTGTTATTTTTTGTTTTATACTTAGTAAGAATCACTTTTAATTTTACTACTGTTGTTTGCTTCAGTTTTCTGTTTTTGTGTTTCATTAATTAATATAAATGTATATAAAGTTTCTACTTTTCATATTTTTCCCTAAATACGGAGCCAATCCGGCAACACCGCAGGCAAGCGCCTCTCATATATGACATATCCACAGACTTCAACGTCATACGCTAGATGGCGGTGGAAATAATGGGGGAAATAACTGCTAAAATATACAGTGTTTTGGGAAAAAAATCGTGAAAAGCGTGCTTCATCCACAATTTTTATGATTTAAAATAATCTATAGGACTACCCTCTATAAGTTTCAAGTGAAAAAGCAGTGAAATCCGAAATTCTACAAGGCGCAACATTACCTTTTTTACATATCGATGTATCTTGCCATGAACAACAAGTGATTAAATGGTCAGGCTTTTCTGTCAAGTTTTTGTGGTGGTGGTACTTCCTTGAACAAATGGGTCAGTAGCGGTGATTTATCAGGTTAGCAATGAACGCATTGTTTGAGCGTCTTAATTCATAAATGAAACACATGCGTAACCAGCAATTGCTTATACGTTTACTTTATTGATTATTTAGAATATACATAATACAAGATTAGGAATAATGCTTACTTAAAATATAGACATAATGAAACAATTTCCTATTATCTCTTCACCGAGCTGTATCATTACGCCTGGTACCAATACCAAATATGAATGACTAGATTATACTAGAAAAGAACTATATTAC